GAATTGTTCGATGCTATATCGAGGACGTGAGTCATATCAGATCTGGCAGAGACAGGATATCAGGGGCTAACATACGAACCACAGTCTACCAACTCGGTGGGCAGATACGCAGATCGTCGTCAACGACTCCGTCCTCATCCAGGCCCCGTACACGCTCGACAGCATCAAAGCACCCGCCGACAAGCACCAGGCTAAGGCTCACGTTCGCAAGGTCGTCGAAGCCTTCTACCAGCGTAAGAAGGGCGCTTCTGCGGGTGGGGCGGCTCGCGCTCCGGTCGCTGTGCCCAACGCCCCTAGGAAGGGAGGTTAGAACTCGGCCAGCCCAGGGCTTTGGCGACGGACAACTTGATGTAAGCCTTATCCGCAGAGGCCATGTCGCTGGCTGGAGGGTTTGGTCTCGTTGGTGATGTGAGGTATGAATCACGGAAGGATTATGTAATGATGGTAGCAGTCATGCATTCTATCGGAGGGTGCTCGACGGCAAATATGCTGTAGAGTATGGCAGTATATGCATAGCAAGTACTTCAGAAATTCACAAAATGTTCAAAAGCCACGGCTTTCCGCGCCGTGTGATGTAAGTACGAAATATCAACAGGACTATATGGATTTCTAGGTTCCAACTACGATGACCCCCAGAGGCAACCCAGAGACCACGAGCCAGCTACACCTTCCGCATTTCATACGACTCAAACGTAAGAGCATACTTACGAACGAGAGAATTATCGCAGACCAAAGAACCTCAGGTTCCAAAGGGGGTACAACATTCTAGCTTGACGTCTACGACAGGCGTTTTACCATTCTTCGAGAGCTTCGACCCCGCACACACAGCGGGCTCAATTAGAGTCCATACATTTCACTATTACGCTTTCGATGGACACTAGGAGAGGGAAGTTACCAGATTTGGCTGCTTTATTATACCTATTTCTTCTTCTCGGATCTATAGTCTTCTTAGTCTACGACAGGATCCCGACGTACGCACGCACACGGGTGTAAACATGATGATGATGACAGAAGTTTGCAGATAATGGGATGACATGTCAAACAGCAGGCTGCAGCTGAAAGCCTCTTTCTCCTTTTGGTGGCAATTGGAACGCTCTTCTTATACCTCATCGCTAGGTTGTAACAACAGTCTTGTTCCGACGTACCCGTTCAACCAGCATATTTCGCAACGACCAAGATGGATCCCTTAAGCATCACAACGGCTGTGGTAAGTTCAGCGACGCCGGGGCCTCAGTCACAGCCGTAGTGCTAAGCTAACCATAGTTTTAGTTTCAGATTACCACAATTTACCTTAGAGCTGCCAAAGACCTCAACGACATACGGAACAAATGGAATCATGCGCCCACTACCGTACTATCCCTCTGTTCCCAGCTCAAACTCAACGAGGCCCTGCTTTCACGGTTGCAGGCGCTACTTCTTGACGATGCGAATCCTGTGCATGCGGAGCCACCCGTTGTCGATGCGCTCGAAGCGACTCTGATGAGCTGGCTCGTGCTGGGGTCATGCCTTGGGGAGTACGTGTCGAAGATTATGAAGGGCGTCCATGGTGATCGCAGCATGAGCTCGAAAGCCAAATTTAGGACTCTGTGGAATGAGGCTGAAGTCAAGGACTTGTTGGAACAACTGCATCAACAGTATTCTGCGATCAACACGTTGATCGGCCCGCTGAACAGGTGAGTGAAGACAAAGTCTCCTTATGGCTTACAGCTACAGCCATGAATGGCCGACTGAATTTAGCAGGGATTCTTCGACCGAGAGAAAGAAACTCCTCCAGGAAAAAGAACAAAGCAAGACGATGACAACAATGAACGAACACACCCAACACACGCGAAAGGCTTATGCCCTCACAGTGGCGGAGTCTACATTCAAAACCGAAGATTCCCCTAGTAGTCTCTTGAGCAATCTCTCAACCCTTGTCGATCCTGCTGACAGCTCTTCCGAACAACACTTCGAATCGGTCCTTATGAACTCCAGAGTATACTCCAGAGCCTCCAACTCAGCTATGAGACAGCGGCCGAATACCGATTGCGATAATGCAAGCATGCTCACTAATCATTCTACAACTGCAACCATTGGCGACCCGGACTTCATTACCGACCCGTCAATTACAGAAGAAGACACAGCTACTACAAGGCCTATAATCGTCCATATCAGTGATCCGGTTGATAGGGCGAAGAGGAATCTCAACGTTGCAGGCGTAACAGGTATCTGTACCGAAAGCTATTCCACTCAAGAACCCGGGAAGCTGAGTTACAAACCACACGACCGGATACGAAATTTACGGAAGGTCGATGCGGCGTGGTGGTTCGGCACTACTGAACCGTCAGAGAATGTGCCTGAAAAGAGTGGGATAGTTTTTCGTCGAGACTTTTACCCTATTTACAGGCTTAACGAATGGAAATCTGCATACACCGGTAGGAGCATGGGCACCGAAGCCGTCGGCGAGGGTTGGCTGCGCTATGATGAAGGAGATCGGGTGGAATTCAATGTAAGTGACGTGTGACCCTGCTTTCATCACATTGTGCTCACAAAAGTCCAGCGTATATACCACAACTTCATATGGCACGTCAGAGTATGCAGGAACTCGGACCATCACGCTGGGTCAAACAACATAGACTCACGGTGTTATAATGCGTCAACAGAGGGGCAAATGCTGGTCGATGTCCTTGTGCTGAGTGACGAGATCCGCGAACAAGTAGACGTTCTTTTGCAGCATTCTGCTTGTCCTCTTCCCCGTCTCGTTGGCTTGGAAGGACGTGAACGGTACCTAGAGATTATAAAGATGGTAAACGAAACCAGTTGGCTCGAATCTCAGGAACGGATTATAGCGGATTGCAAGAGCTTTGGGGAACTACAAGAAGCGACAAGGATATGGAGGAAGTGTGGGGAATAGGGCTGGGACCTACAACGAGTCACAGGTGTGTGTATGGGCACGGCAAAAAGACAGTTGGTGGATACATGGTGGGATGATGCCTTCATTCGGCAGGCGTGGACGAGGTGAAGTCCATCACGCTGCCTCATACTAATATACAAAACGCCTCAACACATGCTGTAGTCCCCAAACCCTCCTTCCCCCCCAACCTCACCACTCTCAACCCCTCCACCCAAGCGCATCCTTCTCCAGCACCGCGTGCCTCATCCGAAGCAAGTCCACCCGACTAGTATGCGTCAGGCGCCCCTCTTTCTTCCACCTCGCGTTGTACGGGATCTGGTACGTATCCAGGACATCGACAAACGCACCAGCCCTGGGCTCATACGCCCCCGCCGTCCGATCCACCTCCAGATTCATCTCCTTGGGCCCCATGCCCCATCCATAAGGGACATCGTTCTTCCCGCGGAAATTGGCTCCAACGACATACGTGCTGCGCGCACGAAGCGACTCCATCTTGTTGGTGAGGCCGTTGCCTCCGGCGGTTGTGATGGGCATGCCGATCATGCAGTCGTCCATCTTCTTGACGATGATGAATGGATAGACCTTGATGCAGATCTGGCCGTACTGCGACGGGACGAACCAGTCGCGCGAGGTGGCTGCCATGCGGGGGAGTGGCGCCCATCCGATGTCGCCTACGCTGATGGCGTTGATGGCGGTGGGGTCGAGGCGCTGGGGGCGCTCGGGCCCGTGTGGTGGTGGTGAAGGCGAATCTTTGTCGACCTCCATCTCGTCCTCCTTCACCTCTCCCTCCTCTATCTCCTCCATCCCCCCCTCTTCCAAACCCGCCCCCAACCCCAAAACCTCGCCATCCCATCTCGCCAAAAACGCTTCAAATCGCTGCACGCAAAGCAACAACTCACCGGAAATCGTCTCCTCGTCGGCCGTAGCCTCTTCTCCTTGTAGTGCCCAAAGGCGGTTCTGATGTGCCTCTATGGCGAGGACTTCCATGGCGATGTCGCGCCCGAGGTTGATGGCGGTGAGGGAGGGCATGGCGGGCCATGCCGGCGACGTTGCCGTGAAGGCGAGGAGTGTGGTGATGGTGTGGGTGGTGATGGTGACTATGTGGTTAGTTACGGGAAGGGAGAGGAGGGGTTGGGGGTGATGTAGAATGTAAAGCTATTGCTGCGAAGTGGAAAGAGATATGCTGGGGGGAATGTAGGCGGTAGGGAGTGAGACAAGAGAGTATAACGGGGATGCTGAAGCGCCTGTAGGACGCAAAGCCATGGCTGCAGAGTGGGAAGTGCTATGCTGGCGATAATGTAGGCGGTAGGAAGTGAGCTGCAGTAACGTATGAAGCTGCCGAAACCCATGTAGTCCGCAAAGCCATGAATGCCATAACAAAAAGAAAGGATACTTACGAGTGTAGTCAGTGTGTGTTGCTGAAGAATCTCAAAAATCGGCGGCATGAAAACTTTTGTTATGGGCGTCCTGGGTGCAAACGCTCGCTGCTGTCTTGGCGGTGAAAAGTGCGGCTCACTGCTCACGTTCACCGTGAGTTCAGCAGAGAGAGAGGAGCGAGGAGCTGGATGTGAGAGCGGGAGTGAGCGTGACGGTGACATTGGGGTTGGAATTTGTATAGGTTATGCGATAAATGAGGTTGACGGCTACGTGGGAGATGGGGCATGTACAGAGGAAGCGCAGTGCGTGATGTAGGCGTATTGTAGCATTAAGGCGCGATGGATACATGTGGCATAACATTGATATAGGCATATTATGGCATTAAAACGTTAGAGATATCAGCTACAGAACTTGATATCGTATGCATGACTCTCTGGTTCTGTATGCTACAGCATGCGGAAGAACGAGGTCTCCGTCCGCACAAGTTTTCAAGTCGCAGATTTGTACTGCCCTTTCACTTTTCACCGCCCTACTCCGCTTCACCTGACAACGAACCCAGCATACTGGGCAGAATTGTAATGTCCGAATGGGAGTGTCTGAACATGTGGAGTTTGTCACTAGTAATACTATGTCTGTGACTATTCTTGATTGGAACTACCCCAAAGGTATTTCCTCATCTGAACCTATGTCAGTTCTGTCCGTCCCACACTCATGATCGAGCTGAACCCGTTTACTTCCATTCCACCCCCCAAGTGACCTCGCCCTTCCTGAACGGCACGACCTCACACTCGCCCCCACCCTCCTTCTTCAATACATCCACAACCGTCTCCTTCCCCTTCCTCAACACAATCCTCTCTTCCCTCTCATCCTTGATCTGATAGAACTTCCTCCCCCACCCCCCAAAGAACCCCTCCAAAACCTCCTGAGTAACCTCCTCCTCTTTGATAACGCCCCTCGCAATGCCAACCTCCAGCGCATCAAGCACATAAGCAACCGCATACGGCTGCGTAAAAACCCCCGCAGCAACCTTATCCTCCCCCCTCTTCTTCCCCCTCGGATGCGGCGCCGAGTCCGTCCCCAGAAAAAACTTCCCATTCCCCTGCACCACCGCGCGGAGCAACGCATCCCTATCCTCAGGCGTCTTCGCAACAGGCTTGCAGAAACAAAACGGGTCGCCTGCCCAATCATCGATGATCAGACTGAGGTGGTGCGCGGTGATTGTGCCGCTGACGGATGGGCCGCAGGAGCGGACGGCGGAGAGGGCGGCGGATGTGCTGCAGTGCTCGAGGATGATGCGGAGGGCGGGGAATTTGGCGTGTAGGAGCAGGAAGGTGGGGAGGAAGGCGGGTTCTGCGTTGAGGATGGTTATGGCGCCTGTTTTTGTGTCTTTGGTTCTCGTTACGTGGGTGTTTGGGGGCGTGGACGGGACTTCGCCGTGGAGGTTGAGGACCATGTTTTGTTTTTCCATTTCGGCGAAGACGGGGTAGAAGGGTTCGTAGGAGAGGACGCCTGAGGAGGAGTTCTGTGGGGTGGTTAGTCCGCCTGTCACATGAGTTCGTTAATGTCTTCCTCTCTTATCCTCTTTTTGTGGGCATATCTTTGGGAGTGAGTGTCTGGATCCGTACATACCGTAGTAACTCCAGCAGGATACGACTTCACACCCGTAATTCCCGCTTTCTTCGCCTCACGAATAACCTCCGGCGTGATATCCTCGTGAAGATACAACGACATGACGTAATCCACATCCGGCTCAATAGCACGAAGTCTATCGCGGTACTCGAGACATTGCTTCACGGAAGTGATAGGCGGGACCAGGTTCGGCTGTAATAGTGATATGATGGGTTAGAGAAGCGTGACCAAGATGTTGCGAGACGAGCAAATCGGCAACAACACATGAACAGAAAGAGAGGACGAAGAGGAGCAAGATTGACGATGGTAGCGAAAATGAAATGACCGAAATCTTGGATGAGAAACGAAGCCAACCAAACTCACCATAACATACACCTGATTCACACCACCCTTACGGATCGTAGGCGTAACGAGCTGCGACATCTCGCCATCGCGAAGATGGACATGAGCGTCATATGCCGCCGGCAGCTCGATCTCTGTCAGTTCGGTAAACTTCATCTCTGGTTCTGCTGACTTTTTGCTAACTATGGATCGTGGAGTCGGTTGTTGTTGTTACCCCAAAAAAGTTGTCCCGCATTTTTGGCGAGATCGGCGGCGGGCGCAGATAGAGCCGCACTAGGCCGGATGTGGAAGGAATCGCCATGTGTAGATGAACCTCTATATGCTGAACATGGAAGGTGACGTAGTCGCAATGTGTGGACTAAACTTCCCGACAGGAATGCGCATCAAGTTTGAGATACATCGGATTTATGCCAGAATATTGGGTATCCGCAACGCGTGATCCAGCTACCTGGCCCACCACAAAAAAAGATCCTCCATCGCCAAAGTCACTCTTCAACTCTTCCACCAAGAATTCAGACCTGCTACTCAGCATCCACAAACTCCTCCTCAAAGACCACCCCTCTTGCCTCAACCTCGACCCTCTTATTCCAATCCTTCGGCACATACTCCACCGACAACCCTGAATGACGAGTATAACGAGTCTTACTCGAGCTCGTCGAACTCACACTGCCGCTTCGATGCGAGAACACAGACTTCCTCCTACGAGGTTCTGTTTCAAGTTTGATCCTGTCTTGTGCCGATGGCGGTGCGCTGACTCGGGGTTGTTTCCTGGGTCGCTCTCTTGGTGAGCGGCTCTGGCTTTCTGGGGCGAAAGGATCTTCATCCTCTTCTCGACTGCGTTTCACCGCGGGGATTGGTGCGGAAGTCGGGGTAGAGGAAGAGGTCGACATGCTCGATAGAGAAAGTCGACCGACGCCAGCGGCGAGAGATTTGGAAAGTCGGGAGAAGAAGCCGGTTGTCTGGGGAACCGAGGCATTCGGTTATGATATAGGTGGAGTCTGTGCATTTGCGCTTGTTGCGCTATTAGGCATGCTCGCGTTCCTTCTAGATGACTCCGGAGTACTGTTCACAGTCGAAGTAGCGCCGTCAGTCTGTCGTCGTCCAGGTATTACCACCACCGGTCCGGAACTCCTACGGTGATGTTCCTTCTGAAATGGCGACAAATCCTGTGCTTTAGACTGAGGTCTGGGCTTCTTAACACTCTTCTCAACGTGGGATGTCTCGACATCGCTAGTAACGTCCACAATCTCAGTAGAGTTCTGCGTCGTTCCGTTCGCAGTAAACCCCATCTCATTGTTCTGGACGGCCTGGAGTAGAGATAAACCCATGGCAAAAGCAACCTTACGGTCCACGCCATTGCCAACAATCTTGTATTGCTCCGGAAGCGAACCAACGATGGGCTCCTCATCCATGTATCCTTGCGTCCGACGAGCTTCCAACACACTGATAGACCGATGTTGGTCCCAATGCAACGTAGCGCCATTTCGAGAATCGCGGATGACTATATTTGTTGTGATAGTCGGTACCAACCCAGCTGCTTTGATTCTTCGGTACGCCTTTCCAATGTCGGTTCTCGGATCTCGAAGCGAGGTCGGAATCAGACCCCGTCTATCTGCTTCCTTATAGTCGCAACCTGGAGGCTGTCGTGGGATGCATCTGACCAGTGCTCGTTGCTTACGCGTTGGTACTTGCGGTAAGCGGTGGTCTGGGAACGGAATACAAGTCTGGACAATACCATTGCCAATGTCGGGTAATCCCGCATCGACGGACACCGCTGGTACATACGGAAAAGGCGTTGGGTAGTGCTCGCGTTCACCAAATTTCTGTCCGTTGGGTAAATAACCTAAGCTTCGTCCCGCCGTCTCCTCGTAAGGCCGCGCGTGGGTGTGCCAAGGTTGGGCAATAGGCTCAAGTCCGGGTGCAGCTATGGTGAGGATCAGGCGTGAACGCTGTTGCGCGCTGCCGTAACTCCAAGCGTCCATGATGTACTGATTACATTGGTATCCCATCGAGACTAGAGAAGCAACCACCTGAGATAACACGTTCTGATCTTCGAATCCAGTCCGTGTTGAAGCCATGTTGACGACGTTTTCGAGTATACCGTACAAAGGGCGGTATAGATCTACATACGAGCAGAAAGTGCTAATATGTGACGCATTCTTCAAGGACTGCGGACTGAGAATATTATGCTGAAGAGCTGAGAACCCAGGACATGGCGATCCAGCAGCAAGGAAGTCGACTTCTCCGACCCGAGGGACAAGGTCAGGTTTATTACCCTTGAGAGCTGCGTCAAAGTGATCATCGACGGAGCCACAGAACAGATGCATCGTCTCCGGGCTCTTCGAGTTAGCTCGCTGAGTGTGGATGGCATGGGGACTGAAGTCGACAGCGGAGTGGAAGGCAACTGCTCCACCTTCTTCAAGGCCTCGATCAAGCGAGCCGCCGCCACTGAAGATACTCATTCCTCTCAATGATTCAGCAGAGGTCATGTCATGGCCCTCATTGAAAGTCTTCGGCAGATTCCGCAGAAAGACGAGTTTCTGTTCGCCTTCCACCCCTGTCAATCCCATAGACAAAAACCAGAGATCACCAGCACCGCCACGATTGTACGTGAAAGGTATTTGTCCATCCTGGATGTCAGAATTGTTCAGGAACTTGACGTAACAACGCCTCTGGATGCGGGACATGGACACGTCATCGTATTCGTCCGTAAGGACAAGTTCATTGTCCAAGAAATGCAAGCGCCGAGCTTTGGTCGCGAGTTCTTTGCAGTCTCGTTCGAGTCGTAATAGCCTGCGCACTCTAACAATCCTCTTGGCGCGGTCGATGTGTTGAAAGACGACTGGATCCAGAAACTTGTCTCCGTTCCGAGTCCTTGTTAGGTATACTGTGTCGCCTCCACGGTAATCATCGACGGGTGTGTGCTTTCCTTGCCGACACGTGCAAGTCTTGTGTGAAGACCGAAGGCTGACAAATGCACTGTCTTGGGTCACGTAGGTTTGACGAACGAAAAAGCGCTCAGCGTCGATAGTGGAAGGTGACCAGTCCACATCGTATCTTCCCTTGATGTCTGTAGACAATAGCTCTCCTTCAGAGCAATTGCAGTTGTCAGATAAGAAGACCTCGTTCTCGTAGGGATATTCTGCCTTGAAGATATTGGTCTCGTGGTGTCGATAAATCCATAGCACGAATAACCTCTGTGTTCCGTCCGTCAAGAGCTCTGTACCTTGGACGTATGCGAGCCACTCCCAGGTGGTGTTGCGCCAAACGGTTGCGTCAGCCTCGTCGGGGATCAAGGCAACGACGTCGCCAACCTTCACAGGTGAGTTACCATACGGTTGACATACGTTCCGTCGCGGAGGAGTCGGTTTCCGTGCCCAGAAACTCTGCGCAAACCCAAGCCTCCTCTTCCTGCGCTCCTGTTCAATCCTGACTGTTTCAGTAGGCCGTTTCGCCTGTATTTGCTCACCAAAGTACATGTGTTTGAAGCAATCGTAAACCTCTGGTGTGGCGATGGTGTGCTCGATGATCTGCTTCTGCGCCTTTACAGCTGTTAATCCTTTGGCCATACACTCGCTCCAGAGGGGATGAGCAAGCAGCCGTTTCGAGTTGGGAAGATTGAAGGCTTGGTTGTAGAAGTATTCAATGTAAGCGTGTACGGCGACGCGAAAGTCAGTCTGATGTCTGAAAGCAGTGTGCCATTGCTGGAAGTCGGCGCAATGACCAAAACGGGGCGAGAGCCATTGATAGAAGTCTTCCCGGAAGTCGTTGAGCCCGACTGATCCCACCGGTTGGCTGTCCACGTAGTCGATGATATGCTTTCCCATTTGTGCTACCCAGAGGAACGATCTCTGGAACTCTTTGTAGCCTGGAGCGGGCTTCGCAAGTCTGTACCAAATGTCGTAGTGCTTGTCCTTACTCGCGAACGTAGACTGTACGTAAGTAGTAACACCAGAGTTCTCATCGTCCCCGTAACCCTCGACAGAGCTATCCTGAATTGGTACTGCATGTACATAGTGTTTGGTCGATCCCACACAGATGAAGCCATCAAAGCACAACTTCTTCGCGATCGAAACTTCCAGGTAGTGCAGACTCGTCAGCTCATACGCTCTGCACTCGCTCTCCGGTGTTCGATAGATCTCGTAATCTTGCAGGTCCACAATCAAAAGTTGCTTCTCGGATCTCGGCTCATCGTACACAAGCTCTTCGCGGGATTGGCGTCTCCATTCAGTCTTTAGGCTTCGTAATGCTTCCGATTCGGCCGTGACAGGTAGAGGCGGAGACCAGTTGGCGACATGTGACCTGGCGAAATCACTCAACGCCGGCAAGGTGATTTTCGGTTCGCTTCGTCGTCTTGGTGAGCTGTCCTGTGCGCTTTGCCTCCTCTTCTTCGGCTCTGGCGTTTCTAGCGTGATGTTGTCACCGATTGTCGCATCCATCGTGCACTCGCAATGTGGGTGTGATTCTCGGCGAGATTTCGGTGTATGCGTGAAGTGTCGCGCGCGCGTAGTACAGAAGATAGAAACCCACAAGACGATCGAACCTGATATCTCTCTCTTTCTCCCTAGGCAGCATTCGTATTTTGCGAAAAGCAGTGAATGCGGGGGTGACGGTGACTCTTGCAGCTGTGAATTCCTCCTCTTGCAATCACTGCGACCAACTACGGCCGCCGAAGCGTCGCGTGTCAAACACCCAGCCACAACAAAGGCAACAAGACAACAGGCACAACGATCAAACTGGCTGTCTCAGACAGCAGTCAAACACATCTGGAAAGAAAGACAAGGCGGAGACACGACACGGAGATTATCGCGCTCGGACTCTGTGGTAGCGACGTTTGAATGGGGAAGGCAGCAGCAGAGCCGCACCGCGCAGGCGCACTAGCCACCAGCATTTGGAGAGGTAGGTGCGACATGGATAGCGGGTTAGAAGATTGTCTGTTTGAGCTGTTGACATAAGACGCTTTGTGATGGAGACGGATGATTGCTTGCGACGGAAAGAGATGTAAAAGAGCTGGGTGCAGGACGGGATGCTGAGGATAGCGTTAGCACGTGGTGGTCGTACGAACGGGCCCTGGCAAGAGGTGAGAGAACCCCTCATCAGGATCATGATTCCCATATTTAGCAGAGAAGAACAACACATCTTTGGATACTATCAAGAACGACATAAATCTAATGCAAGCCCTCATGCACGACGCTGGCTCGCCAGGCCATACGAAAGTACGCCCTACACGAAAACGCCTCCATGAACGCCTACCCTGTGCATGCAGTTTCCGCGAACAGTGATATAGACCCATTCCCAAAGATATCCACCATCACATACCACCAGAATAACTGTCCTTCTAACCGTTCTTCGGAGCATAGTCCCAGATATGCGACGAATCCCAACTCTCCGTCTCCTCCTTCCTCGCTTTAGGATCATCACCCCTCTTCTTCGCGTCCTCTCTCAGCGCATCCAACTCGCGATCCATACCACTAATCTCCGTCCTCAGTTTATTGATAGTCTCGATCTCTTCCTTGGAGAAGTTGGGGTCCTTGCCGTCCTTCTTAGCCTCTTCCTCGCGCTTGTTAAACTTATCCAGCTGGGTGAACTTCTCGTTGCGCGCATCCTGCTTCTTGAAGTACTCGTCGTACTTTTTCTGGCCGCCGAAACAGATGCCGTAGCCGTCGCAGTAACACGTGTTCATAGCCGGGCAGTGGACTTCATGTCCGGTGAAGATGTAGTGCCATATGTATTCGAAGATGCGGCCGGAGAACTGGTCGTCCATGCCCGTTGTAAGGAGCCACTTGCGGTAGTGGATGAAGCGCTCGATAGGCACTTCCTGGATGCGCTGGCGCGACACGGCGAATTGCGCGCAGCAGATTCCCGAGATGGAAGGCGGGATCGGGGCGCCCGGGTGGATCTCCTCCCAGATGTTGCGCCGCCAGTAGATCTCCTCGGGCTTGTGGAAGAAGTCGAAGTCGCCGCCGGGGCGGTCCATGTGGATCCAGTCCGGGCAGCCGGGGTCGTGGTGGCAGCGCACGTTCATGTAGCCCATGCGGGCGACGCGCTCGTGGTTGAGGCGCTGGATCATCTGCGCGGCGTCGAGGCCGAGGAGCTGGTTGTTGTGCCAGGCGTGGCGGTGGGCGTGCATGAAGATGGACGTGTCGGGGAGGTCGTCGTAGTGGTCGATGATGTACGAGAGGTAGACCTGGTCAGTTAGCGGACAATTACAACACCTATATGTAATGACCTGATACATACCATAGCCTCGCGACCTTTGTTCTTGGGGATCTTGTGCTCGGCATTGGGGTTGTCGACTTCGTACACGACCAGCGGCGCATCGGGGATCTCCTTGTCCATCCAGCTAATGTCCTCCTTCTGCGTCTTGGGCACGATGATCTTGTACGTGTAGTTGCTGCCCGGCGGCTTCGTCTGCGCCTCTGAGAAGCGCAGCGGCAGGCCAAAGTCGAGTGGGTCACCGCGCAGCGAGGGCCGGTAGCCGTGGGCAGCACTGCTCCCGGAGTTCCATGTTGGAATTGACGGGATGGCGTGGAGATACCACCACACGAGGCCGGCGGCGAGGAAGACGAAGACGAGCGGGATGGCCCTCGGGGGTCCGCTGAGCATGGTGGGTGACGGAACGGCTAGTAGCGAGGGCTCATTGATGGTTGTGGAGACTGGAGAGGTGTTCGAGACCAGGACCTACGTGATGATCATGGCGCGGGATGCAGGCGGCGCCGGGGGTGCGTTCGGCCTCGTTGTCGTCAGCTCTCTCGACTGAAAGGTGGATCTTCCCGTACCTGGGCCTGGTTGCGCGTCCAGATGTCACTAGGCGGGATCTGCATGTGCCAGCCCTGGACCCAACGTGAAACAGGGCGTTTAACGCTTCACCATCTGCCTTCCATCGGGTGTAACGCTTGGCAGGGCAACATTACTTTGAATTATTTCAGTAGACTCTATTTCTGTCTCATTCGACTTTCACTCCCTCTTCATGCCCACCCGCCCAATTCCCTTCAACCCCCACCCCAACAACAGCCCCGTAGCGCAGCTCAACGCAAACAGGTACCAGAACGCCGCACGGAACCCCTCCATGAGTGCTGCAGGACTCTGTTTCTCAACATACCCCGAATGCCCCGTAACACTAGAGGCGATGACAGCACTGGTCGCCAGCCCTACACTTTTGCCAATCTGCGCTACCGTGTTGAAGACGCCGCCTGCGAGTCCCTGCGTCCGCGCTGGAAACACTGAGGTGATGACAAGGTTCGAGACCGTGAACAAAGCGTCCGCGCCAATGGGATTGAAGAACACAGAAAGGAACGCGCAGCTCCAGTAGGACCACTCGGGCTGTATGATGCACATAAGCAGCCCGCCAAGAGTCGTGCAAAATAATCCGACGGTTACCGCCCAGTCAGCTCGAACCCTGTGAGCAATCAGGCCCATTACCAGATTGGCGAGAGCCCCGGCTACTGGTCCGGGCAGGAATCGGATCGACGTCTGGATTGCTGATAGCTTCTGCACGTTCTGGAAGAAGAGCGTGTGGTACGACTCCACCGCATTGAAAGTTCCCCATGTGATGAAGACCCCGATGCAGATGATGCTGAAGATGCGGTTGCGCCAGAGTGAATTTGGGATGATAGCGGGCCGGCCCAGTCGTTCTTGCCTGCCAACCCAGAAGATGAATGCAGGGATGAGAGCGATCGCAGTGATGAGTAGGCCGAGTGTAGTAGGCTCTCGGATTCTAGCAGTCTCTTCGGAGATCAAACTAAACACATTAGCATCGAGCCATCAGATATGTGAGATCAACACTCACGCGAAACAGTATGAGAGGAGCGCCAATGACGCGCTTCCAAAGAGGATGCCGACCCAATCAATGTCGCTCTTCAGGCGAGACCAGACATGCGGCTGCTTGTTGTCGACCTTTGGGAGACCGAACAGCCCAAGAACGAAGACAATCGTGTTAGTGATCGCACTGAGGTGGAAACCCCACCGCCATCCGATGGTGTCAGCGAAGATACCCCCGAGCACGAGTCCGAATGAGAAGCCTATGGGTTGGCCACCGCCCATGGATGCGAATGCAATGTTCCTGCTCTTGCCTTCTGGAAACGTGCTCGTGATGATACTGACAGCCGAGGGGAGGCAGAAGGAGATTGCTACGCCGGCGAAGGCACGGAAGACAATAAGCTGTGTTCCGGTCTGCGCCAATCCACATGCTAGTGTAAAGGCGGATTGGAGAAGACATCCTACCAAATACATAGGTCGGGAGCCAACGACGTCGGCGACGGAACCGAGGAGGAGTAGAGTGCAGCCGCAGGTCAAAGCGTAGATGGAGATTGGCCTAGTATCGTCAGTATGTGAGTATGGAATATGAGATATGTCTACAAACCATAAGAGCACACTAGGTGCGAGCTCTAGTTCTCGTGCGACCGTAGGCAGAGTCACAGTCATGACACCCGACAGCATGGAGCTGACCATGGTGACACAAACAACTGTCACTAAGACGATGGCCGTCGTTCCCTTGCCAGGACCATCTCGCTGTTCAGCAGCGAATGATTCCGGGACTCCGTTGATGGGACGTAAATCCTCAGCTATCGACGGCGTATCTTTGCTTCCTCCATTGCCCAATGGTTTGGCTGTGAGGGCTGGGATCGATGTCTCAGGATAGCTCACAAGTTCGATCGATGTTGCGGTTTGTGACATGGTGGAGAAGAGGGATGATGAGTCGTTTGAGAAAAGGTGGTGGAAGATGAGTCGAGATTTGCACTACATATCCTTTGAGTAAGGAAATACCAGGCAGCAAACCCTGTTATATGAGGGCACACCGATGCCGGCAGGACACTAGTAGTCGCGACATCATACTCCTCGATGTAGAGTCTGACTGCAGCTCTTGGCTACGCCTTGCATCCTTGTAGGGCGTGAGCCGCTGAATAGTACATGTTCAGTACCTAGGTAGTCTGGCACAGCTCACGGCAACTCCGTGAGTGGGTAGGGATCTGGCGGTAGCCTTGTCATGACTTGGTAAACAGCTTGCGAAACTTCTGCTAATGATTCTTCCACAACGCAAGAGCCGCGTCTAGATTCAGCTGGGTAAATGAATGGCGGAAGCTTTCCGTCGGGTGTGATGACAGACGGAGGTTCGGCGGCGGGACTGACGCGATAAGGGAGCCGCGGCCTTATCGCGTTAGCGCCGTCATGGCTGCAAGGATCTGGTACCTGACACTTGGAGCTCCAAATGCTGGAGGGGACGCGGTAGAGGAGCAATTATTTTGTACCATACGCAACTGCCAGTTTCTGTTTTCACTGCAGATTTTCGATGCGCTGAACTGTTTCATATCACGTGGCTAAACTCAAGCCTCTTTCTCCGGCCACTTCAATCCGACGTTATGCTACACGTTGCAACTTCTTGAGATCGGGAGTTGAACTTTCGAAACATCACGACTATCGCTCGTCATTGCTACACGCC